AAAGAGATTAACATACATTTATTTATATATAATTATTTATTGTCTAGAATATATCTATATTCTTCTTCTAATGACTTCACATATTGTCTACGTGGCGGCGAAATTCTCAACCAATTTAAATGTAACTTATATAACGAAAATAAAAATATACACAATATTATAAGGCATGTTAATGATCAATGCATATTACTTTGAAATTAAAAATAATGCAAGGAACCAAAAGAGAAATTAATAACCTGAGAGATGACACCAAGAACACCGAGCGAAACCATGACAGCGTTAAAGTCCATCGGAGGATAGTAGTTCTCATAATTAAGAACCCTAACCTTTACGAACCCTTCACCAACCGTGCCAGGGCTAATCAGCCGAATCTCGGTCACGTAATCGTGGATCCCACTGCCATTCACTCGCAACGTGCTTCCGTGGGACCCGGTTGCTAACAGACCGCCGACCGTCGACCCCCACCAGTACGGGCCGCATGGTAATGCCATTCCCACCGCGGCAGCGTCCCGTATGAACTGTCGCAGAGAAAGACCGCTCTCCGCCGTCATTGTCAAGGCGTTTGGGTCCACACTCACTGTACGGTTCAGGAACTTGGTGCTTATGAGGAGGCCGTCTTCCCCGTCGGTGCACGCCAGCTTCGGGATGCTGTGTCCGAAGCGTGTGACAACACGCATCTTCTGACGGATTCTTGTAGCTTCGGCTACGGCCGTTACTAGCTCAACCTCGTTTGTCGGATACACCACCTTGGCGGCTCGACACACGGATCGGTCGGGGAACGTGCCGTACGCGTTCGTAACCGTGCAGTTGGTGTTGGCGGAGACACACGTGAAGGGTTCCTCCGGAGGAGTTGAACCGACGGCGGACAAGAGCAACTGTAAGATGAGAAGGTAATAAGATGAAACTGCCATGGTTAAGAATGATTTTTTTTTTTGAAAAGGGGTGAAAGAATGATTTTGTTGATATTATATTATTCGAATGATTATATAAATGAAGATGAGAAGGTAATGAGTGTAATGGGTATGTATATATAGAGTTCACCAATCCGCCGTCGTCCACCAATCCCCACAGCTACGTAAATCCTACGTGTCGGAATACATGCATGAATAACTCGGCTTCTTTGGATACGTAATTCCCGATAAACTGTCTAATTTTCTTAGAGAAGAAGATGTTTAAAACCCTCAAATTCTACAAACTCTTTATTCTCATTTGTAAACAAATCATTTCAAGTATCCCTATATGTAGTTCCCAGAGCTACGTAAATCCTACGTGTCGGAATACATGCATGAATAACCCGGTTTCTTTGGATACGTAATTCCCGATAAGCTGTCTAATTTTCTTAGAGAAGAATATGTTTAAAACCCTCAAATTCTACAAACCCTTTATTCCCATTTGTAAACAAATCATTTCAAGTATCATTAGCCTATATGTAGTTCCCAGAGCTACGTAAATCCTACGTGTCGGAATACATGCATGAATAACCCGGTTTTCTTGGATACGTAATTCCCGATAAGCTGTCTAATTTTCTTAGAGAAGAATATGTTTAAAACCCTCAAATTCTACATATTCATATATATTCAATAATACATATGCATATATATACATATATACGCATCAATAATATGCATATATGAAAAATCGTAAATTATGACGAATTTTGATCGATAGATTATGAAT